CACACTAGGAGAGTGTGAAAGGAGAAGGTTTCTCTGTCCACACTAGGAGAGTGTGAAAGGATGATGGGTTCTCTTCCCACTCTAGGAGAGTATGAAAGGACGGACGGTTCTCTGCCAACATTGGGGATAGTGTAAAAGGATGATGGTTCTCTGCCGCATCGGGTAGTGGTGAAAGAGTGTTTGTAAAGGCTTCTCCGCCTGCTGTGGGTGCAAAAGGAGAGACACTATTGGTATTAGTGCAATACTCAGAGGGTACCTCTGGGGAGTGGATGTAGGTCTAGTTTAGATCGAACCACTATAAATCTTGTGTCATTTATTTTTACTATTTTTATTTTCCGCATTTACTGCTTTAAAAGTTGTGGTTGAAAAACTTTTTTATAAAAATTCATTAAATTATTTTCGGTTCAACTCATCTAAAAGAGGGATAATTTTAACTACCAATTCATCCCCCCCCCCCCCCCTCTTGATAGCCGTGGGACATTAACTTAGGTTTAACAACCTATTCACTAGCCTCAACACACACAGAACCCAAATGTAATATTATAAATCTACTCAATGCTAGAGCTCAAGAACTATTATTAATTGTGTTTATCATTTTAACTATTAATCATAATCAATTAAGCTAAGTAGATAAAGTGCAATAAATGAAAACTAATTTATAAGAAAAATTACACAAATATTTTTTACTTTATATTTTAATTACTCATTTGTTTGTTTCCTTAAGCTCAACTCTTTAATTATAAAGAAGTATTATATATCATGCTCTTTTTTCAGGCTAATGTGACTTAAACATCTAATTTTAAATCGACTTACGCAACCTAATTTCTATAACAAGACAAAACACAATTAAAATTCCTTCAAATTTTAAAGCAGACCTAATTGCTGTCTCCTATAATTATAAATTAACCTCTATTTGTTCCGAGAGGATTGCATAGACATTATAAATTATATGAACAAACTCCCAAAAAAAATCGTAAACATTTAGAAAGCTTTCTTGTGAAAACCCTTAAATGATTTTACATCTATCATTCTCTTATCGATTAAGTTTTTATTTTCAAGTGTTTGAGTTATGTATAAGCACAAGTACTGCTTAATTCATCAACCATCATATGGTATTCATTTTTTTTTCTACTGCACTCTCGCATACCCCATTTCTTTCTCGGCTAGCGCTTTTAACTAGCTGTTCTTCTTATGGTTTTTCATAAGTTTCCTGTGATCCTTGTGTCCTTGTGGAGTTTTTCTTCTTTTCTTTGTTATTTTTTGTGGGAATTTCTTGATGTCTCCTAGCTTTAAACACTCCGATCCTAGCTTCCTCACTGGTATGCACCAATTAAAATCTTTCAAAGTGGTTTTAAATAGCTGCTTCTAATTCCTCGGTGGATTTCCTTGATTTTAAAGTAACTACCCTAAGGGGTTTGCAAGCATTATGGATATCCGAGGGAGAGGTGCTTCATCTTTCTAAGCCGTTTGATTATGTGCTGGTTGGGCAGTTTTTGCTTCGTCAGTCGGTGCTTGACATGATTAGAAAAATTTCTTTCAACCTCAAACTTTCGGGTGAGTTTTTGTCACTCTATTGAATCAGAACATTGTCTTGATCAAACTTGCTAATGACCTTGATTATGGTAGGGTTTTTTCTCATAGATCTTATTTTCTTTATGGATTTTTTATTAAGTTGATTAAATGGACCCATTTTCTAGACTTTTTAGAATAATCCCCTATCATCCATATAAGGCTTTCTTTCCTTGAACTTTGCCCCCATCTCTAATCCCCATGCATTCTCTTTGGCTTGGGTTTTATATTTGGTTGGCTTATTCACACGGATTGTGCCACTGTTATGGGTTCTCTCCCTTATGTGGCACAATTTCTTATGGAAAATGACATTTCTAAAATTTACCCTGATTCTGTTAGGCTTGATCTTGAAAGTTTGGGTTATGTTGAAAAGGTCATTGTGGAAGGTATGCTTAGTTTTTGCTCATACTGCAAAGAGGTAGGTAATAGAAACTCTGATTGTGCTAAATTGCATCCTCAGTTGAAGAAGGTTAATGTCTCTATCCAGCTAAATGCTGGTTCTGCCTCAATTCTTGTTGTAGAAGTTAATCAGTGAAAAATGAATAATGTGCATGGGTGAGAATGGTGATTGAAATTGAAAATGTAAGAGATTTAAACTCGCAAGGTATTGTGGATAATTTTGGAACTAGGCTTGATATCTCGGTTCTGTTGGTTTTGCCTGGTTTACAGTGTGTTTTCTTTAGTTGTGGCAATGATTTAGTTCACGTGGTTAGTTCGCCTGTGAATATTAATGTCTCTTCTACCATTAATGTTACTAATGTTGATCATGAAGGTTGAGAGGGCATTTTCAATGATGTTGATAATTGTTTGTTGTTAATCCATGAAGCTGATCTTCCTCTGATTCCTCTCCTATTGCTATTATATTAGCTTTTAAGAGTATTCATGTTGATCGTGATAAAGTGGGGGTGTGTGAAATTAATAGGGGTCATGTTTTTTATTCTCCTTGTGATTTGGTGTCTTATTCTGGTGATTATGCTATGGTAGAATAGATTGTATTGCCTATTAAGGTTAATGTTGCTAATGTGCCTTTTCTTGATGCACCTATTTATTTTATTTCAAAAGTTACTTTGTTTGCACAATTGGACTTAAATGTCACTACAGGAAAACCCGGTATTACCGGCGGAACATATCTGCCGGTAATATGCAAAATCCGACGGAAATTCTTGGTTTCCGGCGCATTTCCATCGGAATTTGGTACGCCGGTTTGGTGCGCATAGAAAAATGTCTTTCGACGTTTATAAGATACCGAAAACCTTTCCGGCACAATCTCCGATGCATTACCGGCGCAAAATGTGTTAGCCAAAATGTCATTTCTTAACAGATTATTCCGGTGTTATATACGCCGGAATTTATGACGTACATATCCGCCGGAAATACCGGCGGCTAAAATGCCGTACGTTCATCGTAACGAAAGCTACAGCTTGTTTCCGGCGCAATTTATGCATCAAAAATACCGGCGGACAAGACACCGTAAGGTGCGTCGTAACTAAAGCTACGAATAGTTTCCGGCGCATTTTTTGCCTGCAATTAAGCGAAAAAAAAATGCCGGCATCATTGCACCAATTCATTGTATCGTTGTTTCCGTCTTATTTCTGACGCTAAATTCGTCGGAAGCCTGTAGCAATAACAAAAAAAAATTGCCTTCCCAGCCAACAATCGGATTTCCACACCTGCAAACATATATAAATACATACAATAACAGTTCCACAACACAGATCTACACATCAAAAATCTCAAGAACTTCAACATATACTTAAAAACATAAATATCCATTAAAATAGATTATTCAATAGCATCAACCAACTAATATTAAAAACATCACAGATTATTCAATAACACAGATTCAAAGAAGGAAACAAGTTCATATGACTAAACCAAACTACTCTGAATCCGACGGTATTCACGTGTTTTCCTAATGCATGTGAAGTGTGCTGGTGTTGATCATTCTGACATGTTAGAGGGGTCGATTTCATCATTGTGTGGCAGTGACAGAGATGAGTTGGATGATCCTCTTGATGAGATGTATGGTTTGGATGTCGGATGTCTTGTTCCTAAAGTTTTTTCTCATGGTGGAGGAAAGAGGCGTTGGAGAAAGTCTAGGAAATAGTATTTTGTTTTGATTTTGGGTTCTTCTTTTCGTGTTGTTGGTTCTCCTCTAGCATCGCTTGGTCTGGGTTGTGGGTGGTTCTATGTTTCGTCTGTTATTGCTGGTCCCTTGTCTCTGTTGGGGCTGCTTTTTTGATGGTTTTGGGGCTTGCTTATGGTCCTGTGGGGCTGATATTGGTGTTTTGAGGTTGGTTTTGTTGGCTGTTGGGTTGTTTTCTGCTTTCCTCTTATAGGTGTTGTGCTTGTGGTGCTGCGGACAACACATCGTTTCTAGCTCATTAGATTTCCTGCTCGGTCAATGGTTCTTTTGATTGCTAGGTGTTATTACCTATTGTCGTGTGCTTGTTTTTAATGTTCAAGCAATTAAAATTACTTAAAATTTTAAATGAGACTTAATAGGTGCCTCCTATAATTATAAATTAGCCACTAATTTTTTTTAGAAGAGATTGAATAGACATTACTATTTTTATGAACAAACTCAAAAAAAGAAAGTTTTGATAAACATTTAGAAAGCTTCCCCGTGAAAACCCTTAAATGATTTTACATATATCATTCTCTTATTGATTAGGTTTTTACTCTCAAATGTATGAGTTATGTATAAGCACAAATACTGCTTAATTCATCTATTATGTATAAGCAACAATAACCAAATCATTTGAAAATTCACAAAACTTGACTAAAAAATGGTTAGTCAAAGGAACCCAATGATTGGCCCAAATCATCTCAATGACTATATGATTCATCAAGATTGAAAAGAATAGTTATTGCATTAAATAATTATAATAGAAGATTTTTTATTTTAAAATATATCATACAATATTAGATTTCTTGTAATAAAAATTTAATGAATTCAAGGCGATATGAATTAAACCTAAATTCATTAATTAAATATAACTTCCTCATTAATTTAAATGATTATGTAATTATTATAAATTTTTACATATACCAAATGAAATCCAACAATTCTAACATTTTTCTTTTTACATAGAAACATAAATATGTTAGTAACATATCATAGATTTTCATACAAAAATAATCTTTTAAACCAAATAATAACAAAAGTAATATTGAATTTAATGATGAATTTATCATAAGATTACTAGTTATTACTAAGTAATTAATAAATAACAATAAATTAGGTGAATATAAAATACATTCAAAGTAATATTTCTTAAGCACCAAATAGACATTTTTCTAAAATGACCATATGCAGGAGGCAAAAATTCCTGAGTTAAAACTTTCTAAATTCTTAAGGGCATTTTAGTCACATAAAAAATATTTTTCTTTAAATATTGCAGTACTCTCTAAAATCTCTCATGCTCAACCATCTAAACTCTCTCACCCTCTACATCTCTGATGAGGAGAATCCACCTCAATCGATTAATTGATATCCGCTCTTTTCAAATATCTCTTCTAGTTTCTGTTTCCTTCTGAATTCAACAACACAATAATGGAGAGGATATGGCAGATCGTAAACCTGAAGTGCATGATGCGGCGGTGGCGCGCTCTAATTCTCCGGAGTTCGGACGCCTACAAGCACCCAACTCGGCAGGGTTACGCTGCCGTATATGTCGGGTCTGACCGGCGACGATTCGAGATTCCGGCTAGATACCTCAATCTTCCGGTTATAGCTGGACTTCTTGAAAAAGCGGAAGAGGAGTTCGGCGGAGCACAGCCCTCCGGCGGCCTCTCGTTGCCATGCGAGCCGCTGTTCTTCTTGTGGGTTCTCCAGCTTCTCAGCCGAGACGAGTCTCGATTTCGCAGCCTTGAACTTGAAGCTTTCTCCTGCCTCTATGTTCATCTCTCATCTGCCGGAGACTACTCCATTTCCATGGCCGCAATGAGGTGCTCGCAAAGCTTCCGTGTTCTGCAAACTGCTAGATTTGATGCACCGTGAAATGATTTTATATCCAAATTTTAAATTTTATATTTATTTATATAATTTATAAATAAGTATAAAAATTTAAATATTTGATATAATAATCGATAAAAATATGTATGAAAATCCCCGCTTTTTATTAATGTAAATAAATAAAATTTCCTCTGTGATATATAAGTGTAGAATTTTGTAGAGGGTTTCAAAAATCAAAATAAAAATTTCTGCTCGGCCTTAATTCAGACCAAATGGCTAAAAATAAAATAAAAATTACTTCATAAGTTTAAGATCAGCATGAATTTGTAAATTTATTTTCTATCTAACATTTTTTAAACTAAATTAAAATTTCAAAATTGATTTAATTATTTTAATATAATTTTTTCCCTAAATTTTAAACATGGAGTTCACCAAAACTTTATTGTTCCAATGACCTCCAAGTGGAGGGAGAATTGCTTGAAAGAGTTCATGCTCAAATAAGACTTTCATTCATTACTTTTTTTTTAACTATATTTTGAATATAAAATATTCTTTCATTCATTACTTGACTTTTACTAGGGAGACACTTTCACAACTTGAACTATGCTAGAAAAGGAAATAATATATTTCAAATACATTTAAAATTGAATAGAGGGATTGTTACCCAAATTTAAATTATTTATTTATTTCCAAAAATAAAAAATAAAAGCAAAATATAAGGAACATTTTAGCTCATTAACTAAAATATTGGAAATATGATTCTTTCCGTTTACAACTTTAGGGGAATCCAACCCACTATAAATGGCTGCCTTTTTTACATTTAAGAAAATCAATCTATTTTGAAACTCATCATTTGAGTCATCCTTGACTTCAATTTTATAATTAATAAGGATTTGATTTTCTTCAAAGCAACATTGAATGTAAAATTTAATTAATTTTGAATACTTACAATAAACCAAATGGATAGTTTGAAGGCAAGAAAAAAAAGGATAAAACAAACAATTTTTTTCCTTTCGTCTAATCAGAAAACTGCCAAATCTTTGGCCTATTTTGAATAACTCACTTTGACTTTAAGACCTCAAGAATTGAAATCAATGAAGTTTCTAAGGTTTTGTTTACAAGTGTTGTAATAACGAATGCCTTAGAAAATATCACAAGTTATGGCTATTGACTAAATTTGAGCTCTCCATTACTTTCAACTTTAGGATCTATTTGGCAACAAGTAGATTTAATTTTAGTGGAATTTAATAAATCCTGTTAAATCAGATTTGATAGATCCCGATAGTCTTAAATCTTTTAAATTGTTTATTATGACATATGTTAAATCTTGATAAATCATAATAAATGATTTGGCATTGTTATCCAAGATTTAAGGTGGTTGATCAACTATAAGTTACTTATTAACATTATTAACTTTAATATAAGTTACTTATTAATGTTATTGCTTATAATGATTAAATAATAAAATTAGAAGCTAGCTTAATTATTACTTGATACGTTATCATGAAATTATCTTGATTGGGCACGAATTTCGATGCAAATCCCAACCCGGAAACTTCAAAAATTAAATTCGGGAGCACCCGAACTTTGATTTCAGCGAGCTTATAGTCAAACTGAGCGTCTCGGAAATACGAACCCAACGACACTAAATTCAACCCAATCCGAGCCCAAATGGGTTCAAATAAAGGACCCGAAGCGCTGTTGGAAGGTTCAAACCACAATTCGAGTTACCAAACGGTCTCCGATTTAAACGAGCTTATACTCGAATCGAACGACTCGACGAGACGAATCCAACAAACCTAAGATCGCTAGATTCTGACATCACTAAGGTCTTCAAATGGCTGACGAACGGTGTATGATCAAAGGATTCAATATCAGCCGTCCATTCAACCACTCCCTGTTCGCCCCTGATCTCACACATATTTACAAGCCATGCCACTCCAGAAAAACTATAAATAGAGCATTCATTCTTCACAAGAGGGACTCAAGTGAAGAGAGAGAAGAAGAAGGAATGAAGAAGAAAAAGGGGAAAGGGAGAATCCTATCCTCTCGACCACCGCCGAAGTTCGTTCTGCCGCCCGAACACGTCGGGATTTTGCGTGATATTCGGGAGAACGCAGGAATTCTGCCCAACTTCCACGTGATGCTGAAATTCTTCTCAATTTGCAACAGAGTTCCCTCCTGATGCCGAAACTCTGCCCAAGTGAAGACGGAGTTCTCCTCTGCCACCAACTGACGTCAGACATCTACCCGACATCGGAACTTCACTCTTCACAAAGTTTTTACCCGACGCCGGACTTCTACCGTTATCGGACTTCGCTGGACGTCTACGCCAAGATGGATTTCTTTTCATTGTTGGACTTCTACCTGACGCTGTCCTTCTGATCTTCGTCGTCAGACTACAGTCTTTCCGACCTCCGTCGCCCGCCGACTACGGTCCTCCTGACTTATGTCGCCTGCCGACTACAGTCTTTCCGACCTCTATCGCCCGCCGACTACGGCCCTCCTTACTTACGTCGCCCGCTGACTACGGTCCTCATATCATGTAATGTACTCTATAAAATGTACATCAAGCAAAGGCCTCTCCCAAGGAAGGGCCTCATTTGTAATCGACTGCAATACCAGTGGATTCATTCAAATTGGGCTAGGCCTCGTGGTTTTTCCTCCTTTTCAGGGGTTTTCCATGTAAAAATCTTGGTGTCTCATAAATGCTAGACCCTCTCTCTTATCTGATTGCGTGCCGGATTTTCGTACAATGCTAAGACGATAAACTTTATATTTCTCTACCGCCGTGAATACTCCTGGACACAACATTACTATTTATCAAATTAATTATGAAATTACTTATTATATTCCTAATAATTTAATTTAATTCTTAAATCCTAACTAATTGTTTAATTATTTTTCAAAAATACAAATTATTTAACTAATACTCATATTAATGATTTAATTATTTATTTAAGTATCATACTAAATTAGTGACAATTATACTATAATAACTATAATAACTAAACAAATTACAAATATTAATTAATCTAATTTAATGAAAATCATACTACATAATATTTTATTAACACTAAATAATTTACTTAATTTTACATCTAATTAAAAATACTTTTAATTTAATAATAAATAATTATTAAATTAAATTATAGTTTATAATACTAACTTAGATTAATTTATAATTTAAGAGATTCATCTTAGGTTTGCTTTACATCTTATTTACACGCTGCTCGTTATTTTCCTCTGCGCCATTTCTTCGTGTTGCTGTCGGCTTCCGATGATATGCATAGCTTCTCATGCTATGCATGCTTTCCTATTCTGCTGCTTCGCATCGACGGATGCCTCATTGCTTGCCTCTCGAATAGCGTTAGGACGGAAGTCATGCATAGGAAGCTCGCTCATTGCATAGGAACCAATCGTCGGATCCTCTTCCTTCAAGCATGGGAGGCTAGCTCCCTTATAGCTCATAAATTCATTGTAGTATCTCTAAAATCGTAAGTCCACAAAAGATAGGATTAGTAAACTCATATTACGTCATAAATTCATAAATCCAGGATTTACGATGATCAATTTTACTATGCGCTTGAGACTTGTTTGGCAGGGTATTTACCGTAAATGTACATAAAATCCAACTACAAATGAATTCCAAACTTCCCCATAATGATTGATTGATCGTATAGCTTTAGATTAGTGCTTGAAAGGATACAAAAGATTTTGAGTTTATTATAAATTATAATTGATAATTTGCAATATATTTTTATTAAATTTTATTTCTCTCTTTTACTTTAAATTAATATATTTTAATGAAATTATGTACATATCATTTTTTAATCATTTTTGTACCATTTAAGTATGTAGCGTTTGTTTGGATAAGTGCAAGTATTTTTTAAATTAGTTGTAAAGTTGTGTTGGAATTAACTTTTTTGAAAGTTTGTGGTATTATAAATTTAATTATTTAAAAAATTAAATAGCTGGATTTCTTAAGATACAACTTATTATGAAACTTTAGTTATATAAAAACAACTACCCCATTACAAATTTTTATAAAAAGTAGTTAAATAAAATTAATGTTTTAGTTTGAAAAAGAAAATTATGAGAAAACTATCTTAAATAGACCCTTAAACGATATATATATTGCATGGCCAACCCAGACAATTGAGATATTTGTTGCTTTTATATGTGCAAGCGACAAAAATGGGTGCAATTGGCTAAATTTGAGCTCTGTATTTCTTTCAACTTTAATGATTGATTGATTCATAAGCTTTAGATTGAGTGCTTGAAAGGATAAATAAGATTTTCATATTTTAACACAAATTATAATTGATAATTTTGCAATAATATTATTATATTTCTTATTTTTATTTTTAATTTATATTTTTTTAATAAAATTATGAATAAATCACATATAAAATTTAAACAAAATATTAATCATTTTAACATAAAATTTAAATTAATTTCTCTTTTTTATTTTAAATCTAATATAAAAAATCTGCATGAGCAGTTTTAATTATTATTTTTTTGATAAAGTTTTTTTTTTTGATAAAGTTGATTGAACTTCTTTTAATCATTTTTGCACCAAGTAAGTAAGCTCCTTAGAAAATGTACATATTGCATGAGGAGCCCTAACAACTGAGATATTTGTTGCTTTTATATGTGCAGGCGATAAAAAAAAAAGTTGATTGAACTTCTTTTAATCATTTTTGCACCAAGTAAGTAAGCTCCTTAGAAAATGTACATATTGCATGAGGAGCCCTAACAACTGAGATATTTGTTGCTTTTATATGTGCAGGCGATAAAAAAGGGGCCGCACAAAGCTACTTGGTTGTTTTTAAGCCAAAAAAAGCACATTCCAAAAATTCTTTATAAAGGTCGAATAGACGCAAAAACTTTGGTGATTGAAATTTTATAAAATGGGACAGTTGCTATTATAAGACAGATTATTATTATATTCCTGAGAGAATAAGTTCAAAATTTAGATTATTATAATGCAAAAATGCTTTTCTCTATTGAAAAAACTCCCCTGGATGGTCTCGGTTCTCTCCTTCTTCGGCAACCAGGGGAGTAATTTTTGTTAGCCTCGTTGATCTTAATGCTGATTGCTAACTGAGTCCTTTTTATATTTGCTTTTTTCATTTTGCCTTACTGTTATTATTTTCTCTTCTTCTGCAGCTTGTGCTGTTAGTTTTCGGTTGTTGCAA